TTTTTTGGCCGCCGGAAAAAATCGCGTAGGAAACTTGTACCGGCGGTTGTTTTTGGCGGCGGTTTTCCGGCGGCCTAGACCGCCGGTTACAACCGGATTTTGAACCGGCGGTTTTCCGGCCGTGACACCGCCGGTTATTTGACTGACGGCTTACCGGCGGTCAATTTACCGACGGTCCTCCGGCGGTTTAGTTGGGCGTTGTTTGTTTTTTAAGCCGCCGGCAAGCGCCGGTAGACCGCCGGTTCGTTTACTGGCGATAGCCGGCGGTCGAGCCGTCGGTAGTACCGATGATCTAAACCGCCGGATGTCCACCATAACACCGCCGGTGGCCGTCGGTAACCGCCGGTAATAAACCGGCGGTGTAATGCCTTTATTGGCGGCTGATTATTGGCAGAAGCACTAATATGCAAGCTATTTATAATTATTAATCTCCTCACTCTTCAACAAACTGTTGAGATGATAATTCTGTTGATTAGGACGCTTAAGCCTTCACTATCTCCTCAGTTGATGATTTCTGTTGCACGAAGCTGTTCACCCCCCATATTCGTCCCATCTTTTTGCTCTCTTCGGTTGCTTGAATCAGCCCAAGAATTATAATAAAAGAATTGAAGGCATTAGAATTATTTAATTTTAACGACTTATTTATTTAAATTTGGAAAACAGATAATACCATGCATTAATTATTATATCTTTATGCATAAGCGTATTATTGTAGTTAATAATGAACTAAAACAATGATGATATTCATAGTTATTTAACAAAACTTTGATGATTTTTAATAATTAAATAAATGTATAGCATTTATAAAAAATAGAATTTTCATATTTATTTGCAAAGTATATGAACAAATTATTATATAAGTGTCAATTGTTCTTTATTCTTTTAGTTCGAGGATGCTTAATTGCCTTGCACCCTATAAATAATTTTCTATTATTTCATATTAAATAAAAATTTGGTCAACTTATTCTACTTATATTTTAAATATATCATAATTGAGTAGTATATTTATAATGCTATCGCCATATAGTTGGGATAAGCCTAATGATCATGAGGATTTTTTTTTTAATACATAACATATAGGGGCACCAAATTTCTACTTGACACTAGACTTCCCCTTGTCGTCAGACTTCTGCCCGTCCAACAACTATCCCCTCCACCAAAACTAAAAGCTCTCCTTCTATTCACTCCCCAAGCTCAACTTCACAAATTCTAGTTCCTCTTATGGCAACCTCTGCTGCTCCAAATCCACCACCTCCACAACACCCAATGCTCACAGGATCTAAAACTGGACATCAAAAGCCCATGAAAATATTCACTCTACTTTACCAATCCTCACCTATTTCACATCCTACATGCTATACTCTTGCTATGAAGTCACCTCATTGGTGAAGAGCTATGTCTGAGGAATTTCAAGCACTAAAAATTAAGGGAATTTGGACCCTCGTTCCTCCAGCACCCTAAACATAAAATTATTAATGAATTAAATTATGAATAAATTATATTTTCAGAGATTTTTAGACTTCGTCGGAAACATATCCCCCGGAAAATCTGCTTGAAACTTTGTCGGAAATATTTATATATAATTCGTCATAAAATCCGTCGGTAATTCTTACGTCAGAAATCCGTCAGAAATTCCACCGATAATGAACGATTTTCCTGTAGTGACTAACAAAGTGTTTATGGCAAAACCTCCTAGATTTACATATCCTAATTATCCAAGTCATGCCTATCGCCTACACAAAGCTATATATTGCTTGAAACAAGCTCCACGATAATAGTTCTCTACCTTCATTGAACATATAATTAACTGAGGCTTTAAGGCTTGTGATGATGATTCATCCTTATTCATCTATGTTGCACACAACACACTTCTTTATCTCTTGATTTATGTCAATGACATATTACTTATGTGTAATAATTGAGAGCTATAGAGTGACATACTTGTTGATCTCCACTCCATATTTAATTTAAAGAATCTGGGACGGCTTTTTAGGCTGGCTTATGGTGCTTAATATTTTTTGTTAATAAGCAAGCCCTGGCTAGCCAACCTAATGCCATAATCATAGCTAAAC